AAAATCAACAAAGTCCGGTATGTTAGGAAACAACACAATGCCAAAGACGCATAGAGCCAAGATAACACTGAAGACCACCCAACAACCCTCTTCAGCATATTTCTGGGCTTTATCCACCAAGAAAGGTAAAGTAAAGCCAGAAACTCCGTTCCTGCTGATGACATGATCAACCAACTCAGAGGCGCTCAAATAAAGAGCGGCTGCCAACTTCTCAAGATCGGGTTCTTCCTCTGAACAAAAGAAAGGCGCTTCATCTTGGACCGAAACACCTAAGATGAAAGCGAACTCCTCCAAAGTCGGAACCAACACATAATCCGAGAAAGCGAAACATCGCATCGGTGGATCATAAAACTCCAACAGGGTATGAATAGCTCCATGGTCATAACTCGTGATCTTACAGACAAGATTCAGAATTCTCCCATAATCTTTCCTAAAGGTTTCAAGGACTTTAGCATCATCCATAGAAATCATACCAAATAAAGGTCCTAACTCAGGTGCCGGAAACTTGTATACAACAATCTTCTTTCTATCCATTTCCATCTCTACAGAAGATCAGTACCGGAATCAAAGGAGAGACGAGAACCTGTAAAACACAGAGACATGGAATATTAAATGCAGGATGATTATGTAGATGCAAACACGGGATCAAGGTATCCAATGCTCAAACTTGCTGTTGTGTTATTGACTGAGTACAAACAGAGCTCCGCTCTAATCAGAAATCCAAAAAACCAGGGTACTGAGACAGTAGAAAACTGGAGTACTCAAGATCAAAAGTCCGCTCGGACAAGAAAACCAGAAAATCGGGTTGGTTGAAAGTCAAGGTTTCCTGCAAAACCCATCCCCTCTCACATGTGGGTTCTAGTCTTGAAAGGTACGACATCCTATGCAAATCGTCAGTATCACAGACTCTCATGTCGACCATGGAACACAGAAAAGCTCAAGAAATACTACAGTTAGACACTGCCTGCGACCCATTGGCGTCGCAGCGACATGGGCGCGACACGGTACAGGCGCGACTCCTAAATTTAAAACAAAAAGACAAGAATCTACCCTTGCGTGTATGGGTAGACCGTTGATCTAATGGGGACCCCTCAATCGAGCTCCACCGCTGCCGTACTAGTGAAGCAGAACACCCAGCTCGCGATGGGAAGTTCACACACGGGAAAAGACCTCGATCGAGGTCATTGGCTTTGTCATCGATTGGATACCAACCTCGATCACCCGACCAGTTCCCTGCACGGTTGGCCACAAAATAGGTCGTGTAAAAAATTCCCGACGAGAAACAAACAAATGCTACCCATACATAGAAAATAAGAAAACAAAGAAAACAAAGCACACACAGCATAAAAGTAAAATTACTACATTCCAAAAAATGGCGGGCATAGCCCATTGTTCAAGAATTACTGAAATGACACGTAGGCCATAAACCCACACATCAAAAATAGGCATGCAGGCCAGAAAAACAAAATAGACACGCAGGCTAGAAAGACAGAAACACTACAACACTAAGCGACTTCATTTTCCTCCTACTCATTGCTCGCCTCGGCTTGACCGTCTTCTTCCTCCTCAGTTACCGGTGCGACCACATGACCCTCGACAACCTAATGAAAGAGCCCCATCCCTTCGGTGATAAACTGAACATTCAGGTTCATGATTCGGAGTTTCTCCACGGAAACCTGATGCTCGACATTTCTCCTACAAAATAAAAATAAACAAATCAGCAAACCGCAAACCAACAACGAAGGCACAGATGGAGCCCGAGCGAAAAGCGGACCCACTACCTTAAAAACACATGACTTCCTCCTAGGACGCACACTCGAGGAGGGCCTTCGTGTTGATAAGCCGTGACTATCGAAGAATCTCCCCGTTCTAGTCGAGGATAAAATTTCCGTTCGACGTCACACACTTTGCGGGAGTGAAACTGAAGACAAATGCAACTAGCTTCTGGTAGGCCACCTGGTCATCGGCATCCAAAGAGCCCTCCCTCACTATGTAGTTGTCCATGCCCTTGTCAAAATGCTCCTCCGTTCAAGTCAACGGGAACTTCGGCACTAAGACCTCCTCCGACTTCCCGTCTTTCTCCTAGACCTCGAGGTCGAAAAGTGAGTCCACGGTCGTGTGAGAGACAGGTTTGACAACGTAGTACCAGTCTTTCAAAGTGCGGATGGAATCCAGATATGCCCAAAACTGTCTCTTGGCTGCGTCAAAGACACCTAACTGTGTCGACCCTCGAACGTTTGTCGTTGAAGATGGAAGATGCGGAAGAAAAGAGTGAGCGTGGCCCCGATGTTGAGATGTCGACAGACAAGCTCGTACGCCCGTACAAACGTGATCACGTTCGAATGTAGTTGCGAGGGCGCCAGCCGCAGCCAGTCAAAAACTCCCTGTTGAAAATCAGTGAAGGGCAGACGCAAGTCCGCTTCCCGGAAAGTGAGACTGAAGCGGACTCAGTCCTATTTATAAACCTAGCACGGGACTTGAGGTGTCCCTAGGCACTTGAATTCCCCTACCCCTATCTGCTATAGGCATTAATTACCCTGACACGTGGCATCACTAGTCGCTTCTCACCCATTTGTCTCCCCTCACGGTCGGAGAGCAAGCATGTCCGCTCGCATTCCACCTTTTCGACATACTGTCTCGTCGAGCATCCTTCGCTCCTAGTCCCGTACACGACCCTCAATCCTATGCGCCGGGCAGACTACCATCTCCGGAACTGGTCCTCGAGACCATGGCCTGCCCTTAAGTCATTACTCCTCCACCTAGGAGGAACAACTTAGGGGACTCTTGTTCTGAACTAGGCCGATACCTACTCCTCAGTCGGGCAAACCCAACCCAATGCTACGATGATGAGGCCCAACAAGGCCCCATCCTCCTCTGTCGGGCACGAGCATCAACGAGGCTCGTTAGTCGAGCAAGGGACTCTTTTGACGGGGAAATTCACGCGGTTCCCCCACGTGGGGACGCATCATCAGGAAACTACCCACTTCTAAAAGAGTTGGTCAGTCCATCTTCCGAAGATCATGGGACTGTTGATCGAGGGCGAAGACCATGTGCTGGTCTTCGCTACGCCACATAAGCCCCGACAGTTACTTGTGTTGGGCTTGGCTATCCGACCCAATGCAATGTAAAAGTTGGCCTTGCACTAGGGACACATTATAAATACCTTATTTCACTAGAGGGTCGGGTATCTTATTCACTACACCTTTTCTCTGTACTTGCTCTCTCTCTAACTCCATTACTCACTTAAGCATCGGAGCACCTTGCAGGTACAACCCCTACTCCTCTACAACACCGGTGAACGCAGCAGCTCAGGACGCGTGGCAGGATACTGATTCCTTTCTGATCAGGTGAGATCAATAACCTTATAATTACTATCAATATAAAAATCAACAACAGATCTGGAAACCCTTAGACTCATACTAAAATTCAATTAGAGATTTAAGACGGAAATGTACTTGAATTTGCCATTGAAATCGTTGAAGGTTGCGGGTATGCGATCTTCTTATTTGTAGAGTTATTTAGGGTTTCTTAGAAATCATAACCCATTTAAATAACTCTAAGGTTATTTCTTAGATTTTAATATTTTAATTTGACCCCTCATCAAATTAGATATTAGATATTGACTTATGGTATCTATACAATAACCTGAACTTTCATGACATCTATACTTTTAGCCATAAATTTAATATTATATATTAATTAAATCCCTTTAAATCTTAACTAATTAAAATAATAGCACTAATACTTTAAATGTTATATTTGTGATGTAAAATTCTAACAATACATACTCCAATATCCATAATATTAAAATTATACGACACTTTCATTGATACTCCAATATAATTTGAATTTTATTGATTAATCTAGTATTAAAATAGTTAAAAGCACCCTAATCAAAATTATTATCTTTGTTTTTATTGATAACATACTTTAATGTAGGATATGTGGTTTACAATGTAAAAGTTGTTACTTGGCGATTATATGTTTTAGGTCTTTCATTCAAAAGATTGCTCTAGTTTTGATAATTGGAGCAAGACTCTTTTGTTGTATTTAAATTTGAGTTGGTATGATGTTTTTGAGTGGAGTACCCCTTATATTCCTCTTCCATACAAATTTGGTTATAAAAAAGTGCATGTTTAACTTTTTAGATGTGTATGAGGTTTATCTGTATGATATATGTTGAAACAAAGAAAAAAACAAATTCTTTTTTAAAATTGTCCGATACATTTTTGTATTAGTGTAATATAAGTATCAGATATTAATTTAAATAATATCAAATTAAGGAAAATAAATTATTTATTTGAGAACACTTATCTTTTTTTTTTTTTAATAGTTTAACTTTTTAGACACGTGTCATACGGATATTAATATAATTGTAAGACATCGACGCAAACCCTTCCGAATTCCTTCTCGTAGATGTGTTGATTGATAACAATTCTAAAATATCAAATATTAATTTTCTTTCTCTAGTAATCATTCCTTGCTTGCGTTAGAGGAGTCAAATCCCACAAATATTTTATTATACAAAACCAATACTTTTGTGTCTGAAAACTACTTGCATTTCTTGAACTACTTGGTAGTTCTAAGTCTTTAATTTTAATTTATTTTAATTGAACCAAACAAAACAATTCAAAACTCTAGTCCTAATAGCTGGACTCGTATATGCAAAACAAATAGTTAAATCACAATTTAGAAAAAAAGTTTTATGACAAGCTGGCTAATGACCATGTAAAAGAGTTGACTCTAACAACCTCAATTATTCAAAGATTGTTTAGTACTATTTTTGTTTTATCCTTTTCTTATTATCTACCACTTGAACCTTTCATAAAACAATGACTAAGTTACAAATTTCTTAGTCAATTCAACAAACAATGTATTATGTATATATCATAACATGTTCTGATCACTCTGTACCAAAGCAGAAGATAAATAAGAAGAGCAACTTTGTTCGTTTCCAATCACAAAAACAAAAGCTTTCTGTTTGTTTCAATTAAGGAAGGATGAAGGTTTGATTACTCAAATAATTATTATTTTGAGTTTTTATTTTCTGTTTTCTTTTCCTTTGTGGTAATTTCTATAACAAACTATATTTGTAAAATGACAAATACAGCAAAAAATAGTTATAAAGTTGTCAATGGACAAAGAGAAATGCAGAAACAAAGCCCTCAAAACTGCTGCTGAGGTCAAAGGTAATCATCATGTCAATCCCTTTATTTCTTTGCAATTTGCATGGTGATTTTGAATGCATATTCATTTTTAAAATATTCATCTACTAATGAAAATTAATTATTAATATCTCCAGTCATTTTTATCGAAATATATAATATTTTTAAAAATTATTATATTTGATTTAATATATGAATGAAATACATCATGTTTTATTGATTCAATAATATGTATTTTTTAAATGATATTAAATATGACTCAAGTATAATTCACGACACATAAATCAAGTATGTATATATATATATATATATATATATATATATATATATATATATATATATATATATATATATATATATATATATATATATATATATATATATATATATATATATATATATATATATATATATATATATATATATATATATATATATATATATATATATATATATATATATATATATATATATATATATATATATATATATATATATATATATATATATATATATATATATATATATATATATATATATATATATATATATATATATATATATATATATATATATATATATATATATATATATATGGAATGATTTACTTGATTTAAAAAAAATATAGTTAGATTTATTGATCAAATATATACTTCGGTCTGATTTATATTCATATATATTAAATCAAATTTGATGCATAATCTATGATGTGGTGGTTGCGATGTTAAGATGCAGTAGTTATAGTATTATGATGTAATTTTTATTGTGATTTGTAATCACACCGCAATTGCAGCATGATACGGATGCGGACACTATCGCAACTGCAATATTGAGGCTGCATCACGTGATGTATTATGCAATTTAAAACCATGATTCAGCTAGTGCTTCTTAATTTGTTATGAACTACCTGATCAAAAACCAAAACACATGCATATACAGGTGTGACTTCAGTTTCATTGGAAGGAGATGACAAAGATAAGGTATCTGTTACCGGTGATAATATAGACACAGTTTGCTTAGCCAACCAACTTCTGAAGAAATTCAAAAATGTCACAATTCTAAGTGTTGAAGAAGTGAAAAAGAAAACAGAAGCAGAAAAGAAAAAGGAAGAAGAAAAGAAAAAAGAAGAAGAAAAGAAAAAGATGATAGAAGCATGTCGTGCTGTTTTGCATGGTTCTTGCATCAAGTGTCATAGCATGAGTTGTAATGGTAAGTGTTCATGCACAAAATGTTCAAGTCCAAAGTGTGATGGAACACTTTGTGTCACTATTTGCTTTAAGTGTGAAAATCCAAAGAGTTGTTGTGAGTGTATGTCATGTTGCTCCAATTGTGACCACAAATAGTGTGGTGGTGATAAAAGAACTAAGAAGCCTCCTTCACCATACAGTGCCCCCAGTGGTGCACATCTCCTAAGTATTATGCTCCATAGCTTTGGTTGGTAGTGTTTTTTTGTAAGAGAGCAAATATAATACATTATAAATTGAATTAGCACATGAGTTTTGAATATAACCCAATTTAAGGCTTAAAAATTAAATGATCCAACACAATACACTGCTGTTATGCCAACACCTGTATCACAAAGCACCTCAAACTGAATTGATGCACCGGTTGACCCGAAAATGAATCTGGAACCATATCCAAATTGTACCTCTCAACTTGAAGAGGTAAAGAAATTAAGCAACTAATACCAATCGCCATGTACCATAGAATATGCACTTGATCAATACACATTATTATGTAAAAGATTTTTCAACATGGATGAAAAAAAAGATATCATCATGATTGATTAATCGTGGTAAGAAAGAAGGTGGTAGTAAGTATGTTGTTTTCTACCATGAACGTTCGATTGTAATGATAAACTATGTTGCGCGCTATCTATCATAACAATTATCTCAAACAATCGTGATGAAATATATAAATGACATGGGTTTGATTCCAAGTCATAGTATGATATATAATAATTGACGTTTTACTTATCACCGCGGTCATCTTAATCACCGTGGTGAAATACTTTGTTTTTTTTAAAATAGTTTTTTCTTGTTAACTTATTTCATATATGTCTCTTTTTTAGTTTATGTATTTTATAGTACTATATTTTATCACAATATGACGAGTAAATACGCATATGTTTGTTACAAAAATATGGTTATACCATATATTTACATTAAACTAAAAAATATAGCAAACGTATAATTACAAAGTAAGGTTATATCAAAATGTAACCAACCTAAATATTATTTACATCAAACACAAAAATATAACAAACTTATATTACAAACTCATTGCGATAAACCTTGCTTATAAAGCGCATTGAAGAAAAATGGCCAACGTCTACTAACATCTTTAGAGTCTTCTTGTAAAAATGTAGTGTCGTTAAACATCTATATAAAAAAGTGAAGAAAATTAAATATCACATGATTTGAAAAATTAGAAAACTTAAACATTAAAATGTTATTGTAAATATATATACCTGATCCCAAAAATCAACAATACCGACAGAGACAATATTTAACATGTATTTTATGATAAAAAAAACCACACTTGTATCCTCCACAATCTTTAATGGATGAGGTCACCATCATATGAGTTTGGGTGAGCCTTTCCTTCACAATGTTTAACTCAGACTTGAGACTTACCATGGACCTGTCAGACTAACTGTAAAATTCCGACATTACCTTCTACAATAAGAGGCCCTACAGAATGTGGATCTCCACCAAATTAGAAATTTGTACAACGCCTAAGTAACTCACCATCTTGTGATCATTAAGGAAATGGATTAGAAGTTGCAATATTTTATTAAACATTTGACTCCACACACAAGAGTGGGGTAAATTGCGGGGTTTTAAAAAATATTGTTTAAAACAAAATTATTTTCTAAATTAGAGTTCAAAAACATTTTAAAGAAAATATTTGGATATGCAGCAGAAAATTAGAGTAACAAAATGTGTGGAAAATAAAGAGATAAGATAAGAGAGAACGACACCAAGAATTTATAGAGGTTTGATCTAAAAGATTTGACCTAATACTCTTCCAAAGAATTGATCTTGAGAGTTTTCAATAATGTTTATGAGATTCCAGAAGGTTAAGCTCACGAACCCCCTTATACAAGAAAATATGAAGTTTAAGGTTCACTTCAAAACAAACAATGAATAATGGAATGAAGCAATTAGTTTTCACACCAAACATGAAAAAAAAGCCTTGAATGGTTAGTCTCCAAGATAAACCGGGATTTTGTACGAAATTATCTCAAACCAAGGTGGAGTTTTTAGCTGACAATCCTAAAGGTGCATTGGACACTCTCCAATAGGTAACTTTTTTGACATTTCGAACTCCATGTTATGAGCATCATTTCAATCATTTCTTGATACCATTTTGTTTGTTAAAATGTGAGGATTAAAATCCCTATATTGGTGTTCATTGATTGTTCATACACGTCATTTAATTTAAGTTTGAAATTTTAGGGATTCACTGTTCTTTGCGTGATATTATGAGCAATGGTTAAAATAAATAAAATTAAATGGCATATTTGAATTCTTTAAATTTTTTGAGTGAAATGCTATATCTACTTGTCATGTCTGGTTCAGGAATGAGAAATTCACATTTTAAAAAATCTTAAAAAGCATTGATGTTCAGAGGTTGAAGATGACTTGATTTTGCATGCGTTTTCTTTTTTTTTTTTGAATGTTTTCTTAATATATATTTTGTTTGGAACGAGATTTAGTAAAGCCAGATGGTCTGGCCTAGTGGTGGAGCATTTTAGCTAGTCACTTAAGGGGTGCGAGTTCAAACTCCAACAACCCCTCCTTTCTTTATGTCCATTATTTTTTTCTCATTTTCCTTCATATTTTCCCCTTTTTGTTTTTCTTAATTCATTTTCTATTTTCTTTTATTTTCATTTAAATTTTCACTTTTATTTTTTTAATAACTTAATAAAAACAAAATATTTATATTATTTATTTTATCTCATTTATTTTTATTCATATTTTAAAATAACAAAAAAAACATTAATTATCTTTTAAATTATTTATATTTATTTATTTTAATTTACACTTTAAAATAAAAAAACATTTTATTCTCCTTTCTTATTTACTTTATTATCATATTTTTAAAACCTAGAAAAATTCATTTATCCCTTTTATTTAGTTATTAAGTTTCTTATTTATTTCTTTATAAATAAACCTTTGATTTTATTTTAAAATACTTTGTTCAATTATTGTTGCTTGTAATGTTCATCTTATTTGTAAATGTTGAATGTATTCCTCTTGCTTGTTGTCCATGTATTGTTGTTGTGAACATGCTTTAATTCATGTCAAGCCCATACATTTCCCTTTGTATGTATGTAGATGTTGTGTTTATTTTTATTATGACCATGTGTTGATCATGTATCCATGTTTCTTGTTCATATGTTAATATTATCTTGTCTTTATCATGAACATGTCTTGATTAAATGTGTCAATGTTGCAATATTTCATGTATGTTTATGATTAATCTTGTTCTTGTTGAGGCCATGTCTTGTGTATGCTTTGTATTGTGATTGTCCCTTGTATGATCATGTAAATCATATTGTTTTTATGTATCATGTTCCTACACCTAATTTTTGAAAACCATGTTTATACTTGTTCAATTATTGTTGCTTGTAATGTTCATCTTATTTGTAAATGTTGAATGTATTCCTCTTGCTTGTTGTCCATGTATTGTTGTTGTGAACATGCTTTAATTCATGTCAAGCCCATACATTTCCCTTTGTATGTCCTATGTAGATGTTGTGTTTATTTTTATTATGACCATGTGTTGATCATGTAGCCATGTTTCTTGTTCATATGTTAATATTATCTTGTTTTTATCATGAACATGTCTTGATTAAATGTGTCAATGTTGCAATATTTCATGTATGTTTATGATTAATCTTGTTCTTGTTGAGGCCATGTCTTGTGTATGTTTTGTATTGTGATTGTCCCTTGTATGATCATGTAAATCATATTGTTTTTATGTATCATGTTCCTACACCTAATTTTTGAAAACCATGTTTATACTTGTGTACCCATGTTCCTCTTATTCTATTGTTTCCTAATTCAAAAGAAGAGACTTCTTGTTGACTTCTTGACATGTGCATATGCATCAGTGATCTATTTTGCATCTTTCCCTATTTCATGATACTTGCTACTTTTATTTAGACTATTCACCTTTATATGGTTCACAATTAGGTCCCCATTTTCTCAAACTTAAAACATTTTCAATAGCAACCTTGACCTTAGGTCATTGACTTTTGTTCAAACCTTTTTTTCGATAAACACTTTAAAACATCTTAAGCATATTCAAACCTTTTCTTAAGACTAAAAGACACTAACCTTATTCAAAACTTTGTCACTTGGTCTTTTCAATTTAAAACCTTTTCCCAAAGAAATATTAGATATGATTCATCCCTAGTTGAGATATAAATCTCCTACCCCATGACATTGTTGAAAAAAATGTTGATTCTTTTCCACTTCAGAGAGGTATGTGATATACTTGTTGATTATACATCCAAGTTGGAGCCCTTTTCTCAATATGAAACAAAGATCCTTCTTCCACATGTCTGTTGTGGTTTAGATGAGTATTCTCCTTAAGATGACGATTTTACTCTTCTTTATTAAAATCCACCATAACAAACCTTTTTCCAATTTGTACCACAAACTAAGAGGTTTTGATCCTTCATTGGTACGTAGGCACAAGACTTTGTGTCTTGCCAAACACAAAAACAATAAAAAAAAACACTTTTTTCTCATCTCCCCAATATTTTCAGCAAACACTTTTACCCTAACACAAATATTTCAAGAGGTTCCTATAGGATACTATAGATACTTAGGGGGCTAGTACCTTTCCTTAGTATAACCAACCCCCGTACTTTAGATTTCTTATTTGCTTAGCTTTTAGCCTTGCTTTATACTTTGCATGTTTACTTTGGGTTATTTGATATTTTCCCCTTCTCTTAGATAAATTAAAGTTTGGTGGTGATATCTTATGTTTTGTGAACCTAGCTAACTAATAGTTATGGTCTTCGATTCTCATCGCGGCAGAAATGAAGACTTCACTGGGGACATTTACTAAGAGGGTTACACCTATCTTGTTATTATTTGTGTTGTTATTATTTATTTGTTGTTTAATTTTTTACTCTTCTATGGGTGTTTAGGTGACACATGAGAGATGAGATAAGTCTTAACCCGGACTTGAGTGCACAATAAGATAGAATAGTGACATAATCAAAAGTTACATGTCGGAAGTAATCTTGAGCATAATCAACACATGATATAGTCACACTTAGTGGTGGCCCCTTTGATGGTAGTAGTTGTCATTGCGAGTTGTC